AGAGTCACCACGCGTCGAATTACCACGCGCCGAATTACCACGCGTGGAGACACCACGCGTCGAATTACCACGCACCGAATTACCACGCGTGACGTCACGACGCGTCGAATTACTACGCGCCGAATTACCACGGATCGAATTACCACGCGTGGCGTCACCACGCGTCGAATTACCACGTATCGAATTACCACGCATTGAAAATACCACGCGTGGAAGTACCAAGCGTGGAAATACCACGCGTGGAAGTACCAAGCTTGAAAATACCACGCGTAAAAGTACCAAGCGTGAAAATTCCTCGCGTGGAAGTACCAAGCGTGTAAATTCCACGCGTGGAACTACCAAGCATGAAAATACCACGCGTCGAAGCTTCATTTCTGAATTATTAAGCAAAACACACGGACTTCTGATGTTGCTACGTGACACAATTGAAGAAAGAATGTTGTCAAACGGTTAAGGTCAAATTGCAACGGTGCAGCGAAGTTGCAAGACAATGTAGATTTCAGAAAGCGAACCCAAGGACACAGGTATAGGTTTTCCGGTAAGATTTCGCAAAATTTTCCGGATTTACGTTTGCTCTCAATTAACTACGGATTGTTCGAACACAGCCGGATACAGATTGAATTATAAAAGGAAGAATCGAACGTGGCTGAAATTTCTGCGGTAAGACACGATTGACCGACATCCGTGTGTGTCGTTTTCTTCGATAATCTAGCTGTGTAACCGTTATCCGTGACGAGTCGCGTTTCCGAATAACGCGAAACGTTTTGCGCGAATTGCTGCGATAAATTTCGCGGTTGCATTACGGTTTGCTTTTGATGTTTGCGGAAACTTCTTGTAATCTTCTACAATACTTCCTAACATTTATTCTTGTAATCTTAAAACATTCTTCTGGTCTTCTTCAAAAGTCCTATGTGAAAATTCTTTCTGCAGTTTTAAAAACTTTTTTTAAAAATTCTTGCAATTTTAAAAAATTTGTTTGAAAAATCTTATTGCATTCTTCAGAAAACCTTGTTCAAATTTTTTCTTGTAATTTTGAACAATTCTTCCGAAAACTTTTCTTGTCATCTTCAAGAATCCTTGCTAAAATTTATTCTTCTAATCTTGAAAAATTTTTGTGAAAATTCTTCTAATAAAAATTCTCCTTCAAATCTTCGAAAATTCTCACTAAAAGTTTTTCTGTAATTTTAAATGCAAGGGAAAGCATAAGGATAAGACTAATTAATATTTGCATCGATTTTCTTTTGATTTAGAAATGTTTGCATGAATAGACTGGTTCTCAATGCAGATTATTTTATCAAGAATTTTCTGCGATTTTTATGGGGAATTGATTAAATTTATCAGTGATGGTTAATTCATGAGGAAAGTTATCTGGATCATCGATTTCGGTCATCTGATAGAATTTGAGGTTCTTGATATACACTTTCTGATAGTGGTCATTAAAATTGAACAGCTACTTAATTTGTTAGATGAATTATTCTTAAGATTCTATTATAAATATGCTAAATAGTGCACATACCAGAGCTTCACAATTAAAATTAATTAAAACATTTATTATTCTTTCTAACAATTTTTTTTGTCCTTCAAAAATATTTCTAGCCTAAAATACTGTATCAAAAATTATTAGACAAACTTGAATAAAAGAACGAATGATCGAACAAAATTTTTTTAAACAAAGAAAGAAAATTTCTTGAACAAAAAATGTGCATAATAATATCAGACGAGAGTACAAAACTGAGTTTATTAAAAAGAACAGAATAAAATTGTAATAAAGTGTAGTGTAACATAAAATTACATAGCTTAAATAAAAACTGTAATAATCCACAGGTAGTAATTACAAAACGAGTGTTTATCAACGACCCAATATAGTAAACGTTATCAAGAAAGTATCCACGATTTCTCTCAGCGGATTCCTCTTTTTCCATTTCTCCGGAGGATGCAATCTCTCTAATCCCGCGACAAGAACGTGGAATCGGCAAGATCCTCGAAGGTCGGCGAGTACGTTTTTGCGCAATTAATCGCGTGCACACAGTCGCCCCGATGAAGTAACGCGATCGCACGTGTGGAAATCGGGTACGGCTGTAATAAGCGCTACAGAAATGAAATAAAACGACGAGGTGTGCGTCCAAGACGCATACCAGCACGGTAATGCGTAGGTAGCGGAAAACGAGGCCCACGATTTCCTTGAGAAACGATCCTGATAGACGTCCCTAAGGAAGCGTTTTAACATTTCGAGATGGCGTCGTTAGATTCGATTGCTGAACGAAATAGAGAGAACGCTTATTTATTTCCTTGCCCTGGGTTATTTATACTTATTTATATTTTGTAATAATAATCTTGTTGTTTGGAAATTTTATAAACATATTGTTCTAAAATTATATTACCTTCTTTTGGAATTATATGCAGATACGAGTATAAGCTTCCATTTTTGAGACATCCTGTAGAAGGTGTGAAACATTATACCGTAATCCATTGTTTGTTCCAACAAAGAGCTATTTTGTATCAAGAATACTGTTGAACGTTTATGCAGTCCTTGTCAAACTAAGCTAATTGCTGTCAGTGCAATTTTGTAGCACTTTTATGAAGTCAAATTACAATAACATGAATCAGAGCCTTTGTACTTCTTGAAATCATTGTTGTCTATAATTGGTGATCAGGCATTTTATATTGGAGATATTAATGGGGCTCTTATACTGCTATTTTCCTGAAGCTTTACCCTCTAATTTGATGTATCATAAGTGGTATTTGAAGATACTTTTCTGTCATGAATTTATAGTGACATAAATTAGTAATAACTTACACTTCCTATACTTTTAACTGAATCATTGCTTGATACATGTGGTCGTCAGCCATTTTGTATTAAAGATATCGAAGGGGCTCACATACTGCTATTTTCGTGATACCTTAACCTTTAATTTGATGTATCATAAATGGCATTTGAAGATACTTTTCTGTCATGAATTCGTAATGACATAAATCAATGACAACCTCGACTATATATATTTTTAATTGAATCACTGTTTGGTACATATAGTCGTCAGCCATTTTGTATTACAGATATCAAAGGTGCTCACATACTGTTATTTTCGTGATGCCTTAACCTTTAATTTGATGTATCACAAGTGGCATTTGAAGATACTTTTCTGTCATGAATTCGTAATGACATAAATCAATGACAACCTCGACTATGTATATTTTTAATTGAATCCCTACTTGCTACATGAGATCGTCAGCCATTTTGTATTAAAAATATCAAAGGTGCTCACATACTGCTATTTTCGTGATGCCTTAACCTTTAATTTGATGTATCATAAGTGGCATTTGAAGATACTTTTCTGTCATGAAATCCACTTCCCAATCAAAACCAATCTCACAAAAACTACCTAAAAAACAAAGCCAACGATTAACCTTTCCATACCCAAATTCACGGAAGAAGCTATAAAAAGAACTTTCTCATTCGACGACAAACGAATGATTAAACCCCGACCGGTTCGATCAAGTCGTGTAATTACACCGGCAGTCGATTTTTTATGGTACGGAGAAACCTATAAACGGAGAGATCGAATTTCTCACAAGGTGTATTCGCTCCTCTCACGAGTGATACACCTGCGCTACAGGTATGGTGTGTTTACAATCGGACTCCGTATATTGAAGTTCGTGAGAGTCGCATCTCGAAGACGAATATTCCTGTCGACGTTTCATAATTCGCCGCAGGATAGTTTCATAATTCCTTCCTTTTTATCGGATGAAAATTGTCTAATTGCGAGACGCGGTGAAAGTCTCTTCGTTGGCGGAAAACGCATTGGAAAGGTGTCAAACCGGTAACAAATTGTTTGCCTCTTTTGTCGCGACGACCATTTTGTGACGACATTGCGTACAATAGATAGCCGGAAGATGTCGGCGTCTTTCAAACATTTTACGAACGCTGAATCTCTGCATAACATGTCTTGAGTCCACATGATTTTAATCATCTTTGAAGTCCACATTATTGTCTGGATCTAAATGCTTCTGATCATGTTTTATGTCCACATGATTTTGATCATCTTTTGAGTCCACATGACTGTGATCATCTTTTGAATCCACTCGATTGTCAACATCTTTTGAATCCACATGATTGTGATCATGTCTGGACCTAAGTGCTTCTGATCATGTTTTACGTCCACTTAATATTAATCGTGTTTTATGTCCACCTAACTTTGATCATCGTTTGAGTCCACATAATTGTATTCATCTTTTGAGTCCACATGATTTTAATCATCTTTGAAGTCCACATTATTGTGATCGTTTCTGGATCTAAATGTTTCTGATCATGTTTTATGTCCACATGATTTTGATCTTCTTTTGAGTCCACATGACTGTGATCATCTTTTGAATTCACTCGATTGTCAATATCTTTTGAATCCACATGATTGTGATCATGTCTGGACCTAAGTGCTTCTGATCATGTTTTACGTCCACTTAATATTAATCGTGTTTTATGTCCACCTAACTTTGATCATCGTTTGAGTCCACATAATTGTATTCATCTTTTGAGTCCACATGATTTTAATCATCTTTGAAGTCCACATTATTGTCTGGATCTAAATGCTTCTGATCATGTTTTATGTCCACATGATTTTGATCATCTTTTGAGTCCACATGACTGTGATCATCTTTTGAATCCACTCGATTGTCAACATCTTTTGAATCCACATGATT